ATGGCCGCTAAGTGGACACTCACAATTCTGAGAGTCAGGCAGCTGCATCTCTGCAAAGCTCTCCTTGACTCTCTTCCCCTTCCTTTGACTCCCCCGTCCCCGCTGCCAAAAGGCAGAGACCTCCTCTTAACTCAGCCTTGTTGCCACATGCCTGGCACCAGCTGGCACATGGTATGAGCTAACTGGGTGCCTGTTTGAGTGGACGTGGTACTGTGAGTACGTGAGGTGGAAAAAGAGGAAGAACCAACCTTGAGTGGTCTAAGGACGCTTTCTAGTGGTGGTGATGTTTGAGCTGAGGCCAGGCAGCTGTTGGGTTGGTGATAACTAAGCCCTTGAAGAACTCTGCAGAACTTCTCTTCCCTGAAAGACTAGAGAGAAGGTTTGGGATGAGCCCTGTGCAGTAGATAGTGCTTCTCATTTCTAGTCTAATGGGCCATAGGGGGCACCATGAATTTATGTGACCACTGCAAATTGCTGTCATTCCCAAGCCTGGGGATTTGATAGTGCCTGGATCAGCTTCCAGTACATATCTAGCTCTTGGAAGATTGGTGCAGAGAAAAATGGCCCACCCACAATGCCTATGGAACAGCACTGTAGTTGGGGAGGAGGTAGCTCAAAGAGGGGCTATGCCATGTGCTGTTGGGGCTGAGATGTGGCCAAGGAAGATGTTCCAGCATCCCAACTTTTAGAACACAAAGCTCACAGTTCCCAAACGTTTGAGTTCACTGCCTGGGAAAATTTAAAAAGAAACTGAGGAGCTTGACTCATGGCTGCCAATCCAGCATCAAAATTTAAAAAACAACAACAACAACAACAAAAACAGAACCAAAATCAGTTGTGATCATTTCATAAAAGAAAGGACACTTTAACATTTAAAGAGTAAGAAGATCTCACTCTTAGAGGAAAGGACATTCTGATACATTGGTTACATTTAGGTAATGAAGAACCACATACATTCCCCTACTGCCATTCTGTTCAGTCTGGTGAAACATTGTCAGAACCCAGCATCTGGCCAAAGTTTGTGTCTTGAGCACTGGCTGGTCAGGTGGGAAGCAGTGACTAGATGTTCCAGCCTGTTCTGCTGAGGCTAGAGGATCCATCTAGTCTAGCTAACATGAAAGTGAGGCAGGGAGTCCGTTCTGGGTTGGCTCTAGATTAGCAGGGCTTTTGATGGAGGATCATGTGTGTGTTTGGGTTTGCTGTGCTGAGCAAAGGAGCAGTGGAATTTGTCTGAGTTGAGCTCACATATTGAAGTTATTGAGCGACTTACACGCAAGGCCATGACCTGGACTCCCAGCTGAGAGGCCCACGTGGCAGGGCTTTAGCTGGGAGAGTGAAGGACAGGCTCACATCTGCTCATCTGCTTACGTAACCCTGCTTCCCAGCTCCCAGAGCCAAGAAAACACACAAGCCAGCCCAGCGGGGCCGAGGGCCTGTGGTAGCACACGCCATGCGCCTCACAGCAAGGGAGCCCTGGCTTAGCCTGAGGACTGTCAGGAAGCCCTCAGCCCTTTGCTTCCTCCCCTTGCCTCTCCTTGAAGCCTCGAGCAGTGGCTTCGAGACCTGGTAGCAGGTCTGCAAGGTTCTGGCAGAGCTGATCACTGCCCTCCTGGAGTCTGAGCTCTATGGATTTTCTCACCGGGCCAGGGCCAAGTGTACAGCAGAGGACAGCCCCTGTGGCATGGCAGGAGATTTGCAGGGCACCCAGGGAGGCCACCTGGCTGGCACTGGACCCAAGAAGGCATTCTGCTCCAGGTCCGGAGCTGCCATTGACTGCCGGGTGCTGTCCACTCTCAGAGGTGTGATCTGCGGGGCTCTCAGAGCTGTGGAGGTGTCCCAGGGACAGGGTGGGGGAAGAATTGCCAGACTGGGCAGAGAAGGCAGGAACCGGTGTCAGTGTGCTCTCAATGTGTTGGAGACATGATAGGGGTTGTGAGAGGGAGGCAAAGAGGAGCAGGCAAGTGAGAAGAGGCTGTTCAGTGATAAAGCTGTACAGGGGCCATCGGAGGAGCTAATGGGGGTGGTGGCACATAAGAGTTCTTCTGGAGCAGGTTAAATTCCTGTCCTTGCAATTTATACATGGCAACACCAGTATGCTGAAAGCAGATGGTACTTACCTCAAGATAGATCATCCAGCAAGTCATTGATGGAGCTGGACCAGGTCCCAGCATCCTCTCTCTCTGTCCAAGAAGCCTCAGGACCAGCTTCCTGGAACTCCTGAAAGGCGTAACACTGAGAGCAGCCTGCAGGTGTGTGCTTCAGGAAGCCAGGCAGAGCAAGTGTGAATTCCTGTCTTCTGGGCTGGTTTCAGAAGAAGTGAGTAAGTTGCTAGGGTGACAGTCCAGATGCCTCTTGGGTTCCTGAAAATGGGGTTATGTTTAGCAGTATCTTGAGAACCTAAGATGCAGCGGGGCTGGGGAGTTTGCAGATGTTGTGGGGCCCTCTGAAGTAAGAAGAGACCAATGATAGACCTTTTTTCCTAAGTGCACTGTGCAGCAGGGCCTCCCAGAAGGCTTTGTCTCGGGTACTGTGTGGAAGGGCTACTTCCATGACGTGTGAGCCGTGGGAGGCCCTAAGGGCCCTCCTTGCCCAAAAGCCCCAAGACTTGTGAAGATGGGAGGGAGGATCATCTCTCCATTGCCCAACTTGCCCAAACGGAATCACCCAGGCTCCTTGTTAATTACCTACCTTGGTCCTTCTCAACATCTGCAGAGTCAGCCTCCCCAGGGTACTAGGGAAGGGGAAGGACCTGAGATTCCATATTTTTTTCAAACTGCCTTAGGTGGTTCTGGTGGTAGTTTTGGGGAAAACTGCTCCAGGGTTAGCCCTTACTTAGCCCTAGAGCATAAAGCCTACTCATTAGATGGCACCGTTGGAGATGGGAGCCCGCAGCCAAGTGAGGGACTGATCTGTGAGGCCCCTGTCCCCCCAGGGAGGAAGGTACATGGCCAGGAAGGCAACAGCTTTGAAACCCTGAGCACTCCCTTCCTACCCCTGGGGATCTGCTCACTGAGCTCTGTGGTGAAGAAAGGAAAAAGTTGAGGTCAGATTGGGGCTTTGCTGTTAAGATTTTGGTCTTTCAGTGCCAAGTTGGCTGTTTGAGGAAGGAGGAAGGGCATTTCTGGCAAAGGGAGAAGCGTGGTCATAGGCCTGGTTTATAAGAATGGGGAAGGAGGTGGAGCTGAGACTGAAGGGCCTTGTTGCCAAGTTAAGAGGTCAGGCCTTACCTTGTCCAAGACAACAACACAACTTTAGAGCCATTGGAGGTTTTTAGCGGGAAAATAATGATCAGAGGTGTGTCTCAGAAGAAAATGAGTGGGAACACATCCCATGATTATGGAACTTGGTCAGCACTGGAGGGAAGGAAGGTGAATGGAGTATGTAGGGGATAGGAGGGGAGAGGAGGAGGAGGAGATGGTGAGTTTGCACCTGTGGTCAGGCCAGAGAAGCAAGAGTCGCAGCTTTCTTTTCTTGGGCTGTCTCATTTCAGGAGAGTGAGCGATCTCTGGGGATAGAAGTGCTTGGAGAGCCACATATTATTAATAAACGGGTGACAGGCTACATACTGGTTCTCATGAGCATACTTCATGTGAACTTGCTCTGAGTTTGTGGTCAGCATTCTCACCTCTGCTCTGTAGTTTCCTTCGTTTTTCCTTGTGACTAGTTGCTTTATAGGTAAAGATGGTTACACTATAGTAACAGTTCTCAAAGTGTGTCCCCTGCTAAAATGGTTCTGTTGCCCAGTAAGTTTGGGAGATGGTGGGTTAAATGAAGTGAAGGAGGTTTCTGGATTGCACAACTTCTCAGAGCCTTTCGTGTACGTCATGACTTTCCAGAAGCAGGGTTTAGCAGGCAGAGTTCCTACCCTTATTTGACCAGGGACATATTTTTCCACTGAGCATCTTGCTGGAATTAGTGCTTCCTGGAACCCACTTTGAGAAAGTCTGGCCTACAGGGAATACTGGGGGCCTGGGTTCAATGGCTCTCTCCACAGTTCCCCGCGTGTCCCTGGGCCAGCCAGCTTCCTGCGGCCCTCACCGTCTGTGCCGCACGCGGGGCAGTCCCCAGCAGCTCTCTCAGAGCCACCTGTTTCTATTTAGGAAACAAGGACTTCCATGTCAGTATCTGGATCTTGACCTTTGGCTTTCCCTCTGCTTCTAACTTGCCACTAACTAAAAATCCGCCATCCATGTCTCATCAGTTTTTTACCTAAGCCAAAGAGCTCTCTTACTAATTTATTTCTCTTGTCTGGATCCATGCTCTTCCAGGCTAGACACTTTGCAGTCATCCCTGACTTTTCGTCCCTTCTTCATTCCCTCTGTTACTACCTCATTCCTTAATCTTACTAGGCGTTCTTCTTTAATGTTCTTTCCAACTGTTTTCTTCTCCCTTTTCCCCTTGGTCTTTTCTAGGGTCTCATTTCCTCCAGTCCTTCCCATCAAGTTTGTTCCTTCTGTGTATCAACCCATGAGACACTGCTCCGTGGCTACCTTCTGCTTTTCTCAGCACTGAGCTCTCCAACACACGGCGCATGTGTGCGCGCACACACCCCCCTTTTCTCAATTAGGCTAAATGCAGGAAGAACCTGTCCAAAGCCACACACTGGGAGGTGGCAGAGCTAGGTCTCAACCTCGGGATTTCTGAGGAAGCGTTTTCTCCATGCTTCCTGATCTTTACAACACCCTGTCAAGGTGTCAGAGTAGGAAATACCCCATTTTCATTATATAGTTGAGAAACATAGATTGTGAAGGGAATGTGTCCTGCATAGGTGAGTGTTTCCAAGGGTGACCAGCAACCCAGGTGTGGCTGGTACGATGAGTTTCCTGCAGTGGTTGATCACACTATTGCTACACATGGTACCTGGTGCTGGGCATGAGTGCCTTTTCCGTGGCCACACTGCCTCTCAGGAAGAGCCGTCTCCTGCAGCCTGGCCCTCTGATGCATCTGTAAAGCAGCGAGTCCTGTGGCCTGCTAACTTCTCCTTCCCTCCACCTCTCTAGTTGGCCCCCTGCTGATCGAGTTTAAAGCACCTGTGGACCTGATACTTGTGGCGAAACAGAACCCTGAGGTGAAGGTGGGTGGTCGCTATACCCCCAAGGACTGCATCTCTCCTCACAAGGTGGCCATCATTATTCCATTCCGCAACCGGCAGGAACACCTCAAGTACTGGCTGTATTACTTGCACCCAATCCTGCAACGGCAGCAGTTGGACTATGGAGTCTACGTTATCAATCAGGTGAGGTCTGGGAAGGAGGAGCAGGAAGGGTGTCCTTGTGTGTATGTAAATATGAGAGTAAGGAGGCTAAAAGGAAAAGAAGTGATTTCCTAGGTATGTGACATTTTTACAACTCAGCGTTCTACCTTCTTATCTTAATTAGTATAGATAAGCTAAATGCCCTTTAGGGAAATTGCTGCAATTTTTTATTGTTTTTTTTGAAGTACCTTCCAACAGAACTGAGAGAAAAATAACAGTTTTAATTTTCTCCAAGTAAAAAGCACTGATTACTTTCTGACTCTGGGCAGCTGTGTGTGTGTGTGTGTTTGTTTGTTTGTTTGTTTTAATTTTTTTTTTAATTTTTTAAAAATTCTCACCATAGGACATGCCCATTGATTTGATTTTTTTGGAAGATTTTATTTATTTTATTTATTTATTTTCAGAGAGGGGAGGGAGAAAAAGAGGGGGAGAAACATTGATGTGAACATCAATCAGTTGCCTCTTGCATGCCCCCAACTGGGAATCTGGCCTGCAACCCAGGCATGTGCCCTGACTGAGAACTGAATTAAACCAGTGACCTTTTGCTTTGTGGGATGGTGCCCAAACCACTGAGCCACGCTGGTCAGGGCATGCCCATTGATTTTAGAGCGAGGGGAAAGTGTAGGGAGAAAGAGAGGGAGAGAAACATCGGCAGGAGAGAGGAATATCCACCCCCTGGATGTGCCCCAGCCAAGGACAGAACCTGTAAGCCAGGCATGTGCCCTGAACGGAAATTGAACCTGCAGTCCTTAGGTTTATGGGATGACACTCCAAACAACTGAGCCACACCGGCTAGGGTTGTATTTTCCTTTTAGAAAATAAAAACACCCATTTAGGTGTCAGACTTTTAGGCAATTTAAAATTTATCCAGTTTAACTGCTTCTTTTGGGGTGCTCATAGGAGCCATGGACATCTCATTTGGGGTCAGTGAATGGGGATTTTAAGGAAAAAGGAGCCTTGCATGGGCCCAGAGATTGAGATGACTGTTGGGTCATAAAGGCAGCAGAGGTTTTAGGGCCAGATGTTGGAGCGGAGTCTGTCAGACCGGAAAGAGCAGAATACCCCCGTTTACAAGGGAACCAAAGCTCAAGGTTGGGAGGGCAAGCGGCTGTTTGAGTCCCTCGGCCAAGCGAGGCGTGGACCAGGGCCCTGAGAAAACCCTGTCAGGAGGATAGCTAGCTATGGGCCACTCACCTTCAAATGCTGTTGGCGAATATGAGAGTGAGCTAGTAAATGCCAGACCAGTTCAGTCCAACAAGTATGTGTTTAAGAAAAGCCCTGTCATCAAGGAAGCCTTGTGTGATGCCGATGAGCACATGTTGATCACAGCAAGGTTCAGGAGTCCATTATTAAAGCAATGGCAGTGAGTGCCTGGAAGAGAAGGCCACCGTCACCAGGAACCAGCAGGAAAAGGTACAAGTCATGCCAGCTGCCTCTCCTTCCTCTCTTTGATAATTATTATACCAGTAGGTGAGTGACACACTGTTGACACGGTGTTTCAGATCGTATTCATCAAGGCATTGATGGCCTCCCACAGATCTTCCTGAGCAGCTGATAGACAGCTATGGTCTGCATTACATCTGAGTTACATTAAAATACGTACTTGCATAAAGAGGGTAAAAGAGTTAGTGATGATGCTGAGTTTTTGACTTTAGGTGACCAAGGTCAAGGACGACTAGAGGGGAAGATAACAATGTATAGATATGTTAAATTTTTGGTGACTATAAGACTTCCCTGTTCAACTATAAAGTCAAAACAAATATTGGACCAATGAAATTTAGCCACAGTCTTAAATTCCTATCACATAATTTATACAGATAATCCTCAGGTTTCAAATAACAGATTTTTGAAGGTCCTATACCAGCTCTCTGCTCCTACCTGCCCATCCACGTTGACGGAAAAGCTGAGCAAGCTGGCACGGACCAGTGGCACCGCTGAGGTGGCCAACACTGGGCACAGGATAAGTCGGGACTTTTCTTAAAGTGTGTTTTCCAAAATAGAGAGCTGAGGCCAGATGCCTTGGAGGAGTGCCGGACTGAGCAATGAGAAGCAGGTCTCAGTGCCGCAGAGCCTTCTGTGCACTGGTATTCGTTATAGCCTCCAGAAGTACTCAGCACACAGTGTTGCCTGAGCTTGTTTGTCTGGAGGAAGGTTTTCCAAGAACCATCTCAAGTGATGAGTGTCTTGTAGGTCCCACTTTGGGGAAAGGAGGCAGCCCCCACTCTTCCCTTTCTCTAGGATACTGAGGACCCCTATTCTCCCTCCCTTTCCCACTTGCAACTCCTTGGAAATACTTTCTAGTTTTTCAGACATAATTTATATATCCCCCCCCCCCCACCCCCGGCCTTGTCAGGATCATCTCCCCTCCCTGCCACCCCATCCATGTCTTTTTGCCTCTACGTCTCTTTCTTCTTTAAGCTATATCTTAACTTTCCACCTTAAGAGTGTTTCCTCTTTATCTCCCTTTCCCCTGATAACTTTTTTCTTTTGTTCCAACTCCACCCTGGTTTCTTGGAAAAACAGTCTGATAACCAAGTCTAAGGAGATACCTGAGTTTTGCCCTACCTTTCCAGTAAAGATTATTATCTACCTTACAGTTATAAAGAACAAACATGAAGTGGTGACAGGAAACCTAAACCTTTGAAAGAGCCCAAGGGAGAAACATTTGCATCATTGCCCCATATGACTTACAAAACTTCTTATATTCTCTGTTTGATCGTTATTTTAGACGAAGAGAGGGAGTTCAAAGGGAGTTAGTAGTGTCTGTCTTTGACCTTTTTGTACTATTGAGAAAACAGGCATCCATAGAGCCCCTCAGTCTCCCTGTTTTGGACACCCTGCTCTCATTTTGGCCATTCATCCCCAACCCCATTTAAGATTAGAGAGAACGAATGCTTAAAGTAGAAGGGGCCCCTGAGACATCTAGTCCAGGGGTTCTCATATAGGTTGTTAAGAACAGAACCTCTACGCCCTAACCTCCCCTTCAGTCTTTGCTGGGATTTGCATGGACCCCTGAGGCCACATGGTGTAAAAATATCTGCTCCATTTCACAGGTGAAGAAAGTGAGGCGCAGAAAAGGGAAGTAGAAAGTCACACAAATAAGAGTAGTGCTGGAGCTCAGAACCCGGCCCTGATTCCCAGCGCCCTCTCACCGCGTGGGCAGTAACTCTCCTTAAGGCGATTCCGTCCCTCCTCTAAAGAGCTCCTGCAAGCTGCCTCTCCAGGGCTGGGAGTGAGCTCCAGCTCAGGCTTCCTGGGTTCCTGCTCTGCCACTTCCCAGCTAGTGACTTTCTGCTTGAGTTCTTCACTTTGAGCTCAGCTGAGTTCCTCAGTTTCCTCATTGGTGGGAGAGAAAGGTTTTAGTGTACCTACCGCATGGTGAAACTTCAGTAAACATCAGCCGTTGCTGCTATGATTTGAGTTTCTTCTCCCCAGCCCCTCTCCGTGCCTATTTTCTCTCCTCAGTATTATGGTAGTAAACTCTTTCCTGCTCTCCTACTTCGCCCCCACTCAGTCACTCCCTACCAGCATCGAGACCCTCCCTCACTTGTGTGGCTTCCACGGGGTCAGAGGATAGTGGATAATGACATAATACAGAGACCCATCAGGTAACAGAATCTCAGGGGATGTAGGTACCATGTCAAGCCTACCAGCTCCTTCACAATAGGGTTGTATCTCAAGCTCCGCCCACAGGGGGTGACCTTTCACAGGTCTTCGTGGCTCCCGTCCTTGTCCATATTAAGCTATTAATCCCCCACCCCCATTCTGGTTTAGGCTCTTCTAGTCACCTTAAGAACTTAACTTCTCACATTAAGTGGTGGGGCAGGGGGTTACCAGTTGAGATGGAGTACAAGCATTGCTGTGTGTCCTCAGGTCTTCTGCCCGAGCCCACCAGAGTTTGAGAGTCCCTTTAGAGTTTTGGCACAGCCAGCCTGTTGGAGCCAAAGGTGCTGCTCGGAGGCCTAGAGGTCCCAACTGAGGTCCGACCCTGGAACATTGCTGCAGAAGTGTACTTTAAGACGTCATAGCAGACGGGGTGGGGTGTGCACTATATACTTCATCATACTTTAATGGGGAGAGGAAACTAAAATTACCCAAGGTGAAGGGAAGTCAGGTCGCCACCTGGCAGCACCAGCCCTAAATAAATACCGGATGTTTGGGGGATTAACCATTGTAAAAGTTACCCGCAGGTAAAGCATGGAGGCCCTGCTGGCCAGGTGAGTTTGTAATCATCGCAGCAGCCCTTTGTCCTAGAGCCAGCACCTGGGACTGGTCTCCAGTTCCAGTTGTATATTTTCTGGCACCTGATCTCATTCAGTTGCCCCAGATCTTTCTAGTTCTACTATGTCACTCCCTCTCTTTAAGCCCTTCAGTCTGTCCCCACTGCTCAAAGGCAAGGGCCTACAGAATCTGAAGCCCTGAGTTCAGCATCTGGGACCCTGTGCAGTCCAGCTCTGACCTACCCCCGGCCGCTTCCTCCTCGGGCTTCATTTTCACACCTTGTGTCACAGCCATACTGGATTCTTCATCTTCACCCAGTTACATTCTGCTCCTGCCTGGTACCTTTGCCTCTGCTGTCCCCTCTGCCCTGCTTGCCTGCCTTCCCTCCCCTACCTGCTCTCTTCCTGGCCATCATTTAGAGCCCCAACCTTATTAGGTCCATGAAGCCCCAGGTGGAGCTGACTTCTCCCTCCCTGCTGCTCCCAGGCCACTTAGCACATCCGAGCAAACGATGAGGGCGATTGCCTGAGCGAGTGCTCAGCCCAGCCGGCGGCGCCCCCCGGGACCTGCGGCCCCCAGGCATGACTGCCTCTGTCTCCTTGACCACATGGCTCCAGGTGCTGGTCAAGGTTTGGAGCACAGAGCCACTCCCTGTGACTCCTGCCCCTGTATTTGTACCCACTCTTAGGACCCCTTGCTACCTATTTACTGGTGAGGACAGTGCCCCTCAGAGGCGAAGCTTCCTTTCTCAGTCAGGCCAG